CGAATAAATACCAGTAGATAATAGGCACGCCCAAACACACGTACGCATCTGCAGACGGTAAAATATATATGCACGAGTACGTATATATATATATATATATATATATATATATATATATATATATATATATTCTCACGCAAATTCGCTTTATTCAAAGTTCTTTTCCATTTTCTGACTTTTTAAAAGAAAAGAAAGAGAAAAACGAATCGAAATCTTTGAAACGAGAAATAAGGAATTTTTTTTTAATTCTATTTAATATTCCATAGATGAGAAAGGAATTTAAAATCGAAGCATACTGATTTGGCATTGAGATGATTTCGTTAGATATAAAGTAAATAGATGGAAGTTTTCAAATATGGCAGATGTAATAATATAAAAATTATTTCTCGTTTAACAATAATAAAATCATATGGCACCCCCCACCCCTTTATGCGAATCGAATAATATCGAGACAATACAACACATTTATGCAAGACATTAATATTTTAGGTTGATAGCGCACAGATTTACGGGTAGTTTAGATTGTGTTTATGAAAATATCTGCTGATAGACTGATAGATATATATTCTATATATCTATCAGTCTATCAGCAGATATTTTCATACGAGAAATATATATATATATATATATATATATATATATATATATGGGGAAATGTACATGGAAAAGGTATGAATCCTCTTCTCCCCCTCCTATGAGTAAATAGCGTGACAGACTGGGTTGTATACCCTTGGGTGGCAACCAGTCTAGAAGAAGGAAACTTTGAATTCAAAACCGGTTTCGGAAGGGTTGGGCTCCGTCAGGCTATTTGGCTCAATAAAACATCCCTTCTACTTTGTCTGCAGTACACATGGTGCCCCTACGACCCTCAAGGGTCACGGGATTCGCGATCGATATATGATAAAAATATAGTTTTAAGGTATATATATATATTTTTATATTTTCATATTTATACATTCATTTTTATAGATACAAATATTTAAGTAAATGCTCTGTTTATAATAAACAGTATTAACAACATTTACCAGCCTGAATGTCCGAGAAATTTTCATAGAAAATATGCATCCTCTGACAGGAATCGAACATGTATCCCATACGGAACCGTCATATAGCCTGACATGCTTTACCGATTTGGCTACAGAGGAGTGTTTCGGTTAGTAAGGTTGATTTTACTGTTTTTAAACTACAATTCTGCATGATTTTCTTTCGTACATTCATATCTGCTCGAAGCGTATCCAAATGTAAAAAATGTCGTGACACATTAAATCGGTAAAACACGTTAGGCTATAATGTCGGTTCCGCGTAGAATACAGGTTCGATTCCTGTCGGAGGACGCATATTTTCTATGAAAATTTATCGGGCATTCAGGCAGGTAAATGTCGTTAATACTGTTTATTATAAACAGAAAACTTCAATTTACTGAAATAAATAGCACACACACACACACACACATACACACACACACACACACACACACACACATATATATATATATATATATATATATATATATATATATATATATATATATATATATTAGAAACGACAGATATTTCATTTCGGAAGGAAAGTACAGAAAAGCTTCCGAAGTAATCATCAGGCCAGGTAGAGACAATTTGTGAATTTCATAGAACTTATGAATATTTGTAACGTAAGTATTTGTGTGTATATATATGTGTGGTGCGCGTGTGTTTGTGCTTGGGAAACAATTTTTCGTTTATATAAGTTTAGTTAAAAACCAACGAATTTTCTGAAAGTTTCTTTTTTTTTATCTTCCTAGATATTGAACCATTTCCCAAGTTTCGGTAAAAATTTGAATATAAATTTGAAATAAAAATAGTTTGTATAAATAATTCATTTGCATAAAAATTATACTTATAAATATTAAAAAATAAATATATTCTTTTCCGGTGTGATATAGTTTCATGTACCAGTTTTACGTTTAGACGTCAATTTGGATGAATTCGAATCGTTAAAATAACTGGATGTAGCCAACAAAATCTTGTCTGGTGAACTTATTAGAACATTGGAAAAATGCAATAAAAATTCAATAGACGCTTTTGTTCAATTTATTAAAACGTGTTTGGATAGACACACGCAGATGCACGCAAACACACAAGCACAGACACACGCACACACATACATTCAAACACATTTTTATTCAAGATGATTTATGTATATTTTTATTATTTTTAGTAATTTTTTTATTTGCTGATTAGTTTCCGTCTCATTGTGCTGAAGGTCAAAAAACACACAAAATGGAGAGATTCTTTTCTTTTCCATCTTCAACATCAAGAGGCCGAGATTTATGAAGCAACAAGAAAAACATATTAAAATTATAATAGATATAACTTGTTTGTTGTTTTAACAAAGCTCATTTGAATAAACTTTCGTTGCTTCGATACACCGAATTTATATATGATAAAAATATAGTTTTGAGTTTTTGGGTTAAAGTGCTCAATAGCAGGGACAGAGCGTAAGTAAATATAAAAATGGACAT